TATATGTATAATTGTACATATAGTATTTTTTCCCTCCGATTTAGATTTTAATAACGCGTAATGGACAAACTTCTTATCAAAAATACTTCAGTACACTAATATATGCTGCAATTAGGATAAAAAATAATAACAATTACGATAGCTGTGTAAATTTATCCTTTCTAATATCTCTATAGAGATTCCATACAAGTCCGTTATTTACTGCTGCTAGTTGTGGACATGTCGAAGTGGCCTCTATTTTATTACATAATGGTGCTGAAGTCGATACATGTGATGGGGTTAGTTAAATTTTAAGATTAAGCTATCTAATTCCAATGATTGTGAAGGATTATAAACCCCAACATAAAATGATCAAATTGAAATTGCATATACACTATTTTATCAGTGCAAATTTAAAATCCATCGTATACCCTTATTCCTCATTATTTGAAATGCATCATTGCAAGTTATGTAACAAGGAGCGATTTGCTACAATTTTAATCATGATATAACTTATATACGGTAATAATGGATGATTTTAGAAATTTTATCGATAGTTCTATACAATTATAGCATAAAAGGCATTGTGATCTTCCTTTGAAATCTTGTTACTATCTGATTTGTTGTTGTTTATCAGAAATTCCTGATGATTTTATGAAGATATAAGCTATTTTATTTTAAGTCTGTTGAAATTTATTAACTTTTCAACTTCTAGGAAAATTGTACTGCTTTGCTTGAAGCCACAAATAAGGGTTTTATAAATATGGTTGAATTATTATGCAATAACAAGGCCAATGTTAATGCCGTCAATGATGTATGCGACTGTTGTATCTATGTACTTAGTTTCTACAAGTAAATTAAAGTTAATATTTATTTTCAATATATAGTAATGCTAAAATGCAATTATTTTATTATTAATTGATTAAATTCTGCGGCTTAATGACATGTTTATCTGTCATACTTACCATTATAACACACCATTCTTATTTTCATCATCTGAAATCTACAGGATGGAAATTCAGCTTTACACTTCGCTGCAATTCGAGAACGTAGTGAAATAATAAAACTACTAATAAAAGAAGGAGCAAACTGTAATATAGTTAGCAAGGTAATATTTTAAAAAATAACTATTTATATCTTTTGTCTTGTCTCGTAAAATCGTCATTTTAGTGAAGCATATCAAATTTTCGTTTTAAATAATTAAAATATTCGGTTCATATAATAGGAGTACATTTTTATCGATACCTATCAATGTTAAGTGTTATAACATTTCTAGCGCTAGTATAAATTTTAATGCTATCGAATCAAACAATATCAAAAGAAATATATAATATAAATGCGTAATTACTAGTTAACTATACAAAATTTGAGTAACTATAATTGTTGACTACAAAATCAGTTACAAGACTTATTATGTACTGATTTCGTTGATTTCTGTTGCCGTTTAATTTAGCAAAATGAGTATAGTTGCTTCTACGTAATAAGTTTATATACAATTCGAGATCATATTTGGACTATGAAAGACTGACTTTTTTGTACAGTAATTTGGTTTTATTGCCAAAATGATGACCTTTGGAGGCTATACTTCAGTTCAATATTTTATTATTAAAAGTAATTTAATCGTTATAGATTTATCTTATCCACTTGGAGTTTATTTATTCGGCCAAACTATTTATGAAATGCAATTGTACACTTTTACTATTATTTCTTGCTTTCATTCGTATTACTAGTTCTACTATAACAATGGCTGTCTTATAATATAATTTAAAAGCATGTTCAACATATGTATAAACAGGATGGAAAAACACCATTGCATATTGCTGCTTTTTATGGAAATTTAGAAATAGTATCTATACTGCTTAATAATGGCGCAGCGCAAGATTTAAAAGACCATGTGAGTCTGCTACAAAGCACAATGCCCTTATTTTAGATGTAAATTGAGCGACTCGCATATCAAAGTATACATTCAAATGTAATGCTAATAAAAATACTTTAAAGAATTATTATTACTGCAAAGTTATATTCATAACGTTTATCATTAGTATATTTTATCATTTACTGAAGTAGTAAGTACACGTATAAATAAATTTAAGATTCTTTCAGTTGCATCAATAAATTAATCAAATCAGTTATGTTTATTTCTTATAAACCGCAACAGAAAACTTTCTAAGTAGAATCAATTTAATATATCTTGAAAATCTTACAGGAAGATAAGACGCCATATCGTATAGCGATAGAGAAAGGACACCTTACGGTTGCTGAAGCTATTGAAGGTTATACAAAAGAACTTAAACATTGTCTCAACTTTTGTCGATGCTGCTAAAGCATTAGTAAATCCGTCAATTTCAACAGTTTCATAATCCGGTTTGTCATTTCACAAAATTGGCAACTACTACTTAATGAGGCAGCCTTAACACTGCCTAATACTATCAGTTTCATACATAATTATATATGTATTTATTAAAGATATATACATACTGTCGATATATGTAGTTAAAATTCACCGCATAGGTGTACGACTCGTATTTAACGTATGTTGTATACATATGCAATAGGCTATATTTATTAAACCACTTAAAATTGATTGCTAAATGAAGTACCGGCTATAAAATCATCTATCTAAGTAATTATTCTACTCTTCAGTAGAAGCTTATCTAAAGGAAAATGATACAAATTCGAAATCTAAATTTTTAAGAACCAAACATATTATTTAGGCATTTTATCGAAAGAGATCACCTAAAGATGTCAATTATAACGGTTATTCCAATATACGTACTGAAACTATTTTAAAATATTTTCGACTTATAATTTAGATGATAATTATTATCTTAAAACTGATCTTGAAGATTGAGTTTAGAAAACAAAGTAATTACGAAATTATTTATCATTATTCTTATCTCTAACTTTCTACTTTAACTGTATTCACTGTATATATATTATTATAATTAACTAATTAATAAATCATAATTCTCGGATGATTGAATTAAGTTATTCTGCTTTTGTATTTTATGTTACTAATAGAAATTTATAATTACATTCCATTATTTAGCTGTTCCGTTCATATATTGCAAAATTAACATGAGCTGTATTTCCGCTGTGGATTGCTATAATTAAGTAACTATATATATAATTGAATGATGCAATTTGTATGATAATAGTAACTTATTGTCTATAAAAATTTATTTTACCCTCGATTGCCTAGTATAATCAGTTACATTGTTGGCAATATTATGATATAGTCGTATGTGGCTAGCTGTTTAAATTAATAAGAAGAACAAAATATATCCACCTAACCGTGATCTAATCTTACTCTAGCCCAATAATTATTTACATCCTCTCCTTACCATTAAATTTCATTTAACAGGCCGTGACTGCAGAAAGCTAGTAAAGCTAAAGTTGATCATGCAGTATTGCCGTAATAGCGAATAGGAATATTTATACAATGACGCATTTAATGTTTACTTTTTTATTGTCTTCAAATCGTGTTATAGTGCATCTACAACAAGTCACCCATTTGACATGTCCTAGGCAATTTAGTTTGTCATTACCTAAACGTCAATGGCAGATTTGGAAATTACATTAACAATAAAGGAGCATAAAAAACGATTAGTAAAGATATTAATAACTATCTCGTTAGTATATAAAAACATTCAGAATTTGGTCATGCTGAAGGTAATGTAATCACTAAAAATATTGCAAAACCTGTTGAATTGTTGCCAAGGTAGCCTAAATATAAGCTGCCAAATAATAATTGTACATCTGAAGTTATTATTTATACAATAATTAACTGACTTGATCTTTGTAAATACCTCATACTAACGATCATAGCAAGATTTTGATATATCACAGTAATCAGATCGCTGTGCTTAACACTTATATATTTAGGAAGATTAAACAACAATTTCTAAACTAGCTTTATCATTCGACATTGAAATAGCGACATAACATTTAAGAAAAATTAGCAAGTTGCAAAACAACAACTATAATCCAATAAACTATGGAACAAATTTCATCTTAAAATTAAAAATTACAAAAAGTTACTTCATCTTCCATATATTAGTAATTTACAGCATACAAATTAGTTTTTACTACATCCACAACATAATTGTAGAAAACAATCCAACATTCCTTATTTTACATCGGAGAACAAAAATGTAATGAAATATGCAGCGTGATACCGCAATAACAATATTAATTTCTTACATCATTTATCTGGTATCATAGGTGCTATAGTTTGCCGATATGAACAAGCATATAATATTTGTTAGACGAAAACTAATTACTTAAAATTACGACAGAATATCTAAAGTTATTTCACGGTACATAACTCTATGATATACAAGATTTTCATTATTAAAAAATTTTCAGAAATTACTGCATTCTACAATCTAACTTGATACTAAACAATTATAACTTTATTCGATCTGTACAATGCCTACTTAGGGAGTTGTAAACGGTATTTAGGTCGCTGCGGATTCCTCAACGTAAAAATCACCTGTTTCATCGCAATCTTCCACATCATGTAATGCGTCATTGCTTAATCTACGAAGTCTCTGAATCACTTCATCGCTTAAATGATAAGTAATACTTGACTCCGTTTTCGCAACAATAGTATCCGACTCCATTCTGCGGGATTCGTTACTGGTTTTGTCATTTTCAGTTGACTCATCATCCAATTCATCATTAGATATCGTTTCGCTATCGTCATTGTTGTTGGATGATCCGGTAAATGTAAATTTAATATTATTATCGTTATCATTAAGGGACTCTTTTTCAAGGTTATCTACTTGAGGTACATCTTTGGTAGTTTGCCTAATGTAAATAAGATACCAAAAATTTCATAAGATTGGATAATTACAATATCCTCGTTCATTACTACAAAGCAAAAATTTCGTTAATAAGAAAGTGTTGACTTAGGTAGCAAACTGTAGGCCTAAGTACCCTTCCAAATATAAAATAGTAATAGATGATAACTACTTCTGTTATTAATAGCTCCACAATAAAGTGATTTTTGTAATTCCTTACTCCATGGATGGGCTAGTTAAGATTTTCGAATTGAAGTAATCTCGGTTTTCTTGTAAAGCGTCTAAAATTTTATTCGCATCAGGATAAACCAGATCTGCCCAGGTTTCCCACAAAGGTTGAACGATGAAATCAATAAATCCAACCTAATTAAGAAACAAATTCCGTAATAAAAGAATAAGCTTCGAAAGATATGGAATGTTAAGTTTTGAAATCGATGGTTTATCATCAATTACCTAAATTCAGTATCGTTTCAAAAAACTATAAATTATGGCATACCTGAGACTTTTCAACAGAGACACTGTGCCGATCCATCATCGGGCTAACAGCTAATCCTAAATTTCTTTCTTTATCACCCTATGTCGTAATTGTTAAAGATATATATATATATCAATACAGAAATACAAATATTAAAACTGAAATTTTATGTATTAAACAAATAAATATACCTGACACCAACACTCTTCTAAGACCCTCTTAACCCATTCTTTGTAAAGATGTAACGGTTTAGTTGGGTTGCTTAAATCCGCACAATGAACGCAACATTGCAAAATCTATTATTGCGAATAATATTAAGATCTATTCACGCCAATTTACCATCAACTTAAAACAACTTGTAACTTACTTTTATCCTGTCAGAATAGTTATTTATGGAAAGCGAAATGCCTTTCGAAAACTTGTGAGCTTCTACCATAGTTCGCAGATCAGCCAATAAAGACATATGCTTTGACATATCTGTTGCAAGAACCTAATAAAGAGCAAATTTCTTATTATAATGGATCTCAGTGTTTGATGGAATTAAACAACACATACCATATCGATAACCATTTTTCTTAATGACTGCCTTTCTTTCTTTGAAAGATTAGCAAAGATATCGCACCCATCGTTCTAAAATTAACAAATTAAAATACCAACAGTTAAATACGAATCCTACTACGGATTATGTTACACTAAATCATTCAATCTCTAAATATTTTAACCTGTAAAAGTTTGAAAGCCATAGCAAGGTGATGATTTTCTAGTACGGATACATCGTTATAGATAATTGCTAATTCTGACACTAAAATATAATAATTTTTAGAGTATTTTCGATGAGTAAGCACGAATAGTATTACAGGTTATTAATTTTGATTCATATTAAGACAGTATTTACTAGTTTGTATTAAAAATTGATTATTCAGTCCGGGATGATTAACATCATGAATTGCGCCGGCAAATATTGCAGCCAATATTTCTAGGTCGGTAAATACACTCTGTATTCCGAATAATATCATAAGTTAGCGTTTTGATTTTTGTAGGTTGTTATATACTATCAATTACGGTATCTATCAAATTATCCTACCGATAAAACTGGGGAAGAGAGCAGAACATGTACGGATTGTGCAACATCAGCTGCATGAATGTTATTGTGATAGTAGTTTTCTTTTCGGTAGTGTTTCTACAATATGATTCGACAAAATGTAAACTTTACAACAGATTTCGTCTATCGCATTTATCGAAATTATACTCACTTCCACAGTACCAATATATCGTAATAAGGTGGGGACAGGAATTTTAAAAGTTTCGAGAAAATTTCTTTTCTGCATTTAAAAGTAGAATTATAATTAAATAAATGATGACAATTATTAATAATTAAATATTCCAAAAAATGCAGTTGATACCTGTAAAATCATGTAAGTGACACATGTCAATGGTCTACCATTAGTGAGCTGATTGACTTCAAATACTTCCAGTCCCCACTGATCAATTTTTTTCATACACTTTTAAAATTAAAATTATCTTTGAATTAGCAAAAAACTATTAAATAATTTAAATATAGTCAATAACTTTAGAATTTAATGTACAAAAGAATTTTCTACAGTAATAAATTTGCCAACCTTACTGAGAGCCCTCTCATCGACATCATTTACTCCAAATCTGTGATACATTGATTATGTTGAATAATTATTAGTAATTAAATTACTTTACTATACAAACACAAATATATCATAAATTAGAAGCTTAAGAAATAACCGTGAAACAGGTTTAGACATTTGTGGTATGCGAGGGGACTTTTTAACCGTTATCTGTGACAGCTCCTGTATTTTAGACTTCCCATCCTGTGAAGATACGTCCATATCCGTCTCGTTTTCATCTGAAGCTACATCACAAACAATATCATAAACATATTTAGAAATTTCACTCTACGATGTTGTAACCATCGATCTATACGCACTCAGGAAAGTCTTGCTTAAGTATTGAGATACTTGAGTTCCAGATTTGCTAGCATCGGAGAAATGAGTTAACTCTTGAGCAAGTAACTTCCTGAACTAAAAACATAGGAAAAGATGCAATCAGCATCATGAATTTAATTAAATCTTATAGATTCATTATTATTTTCCTAACACACCTTACTGGAAGCCATATTGCTGACTGATTTATGTACTTGAAGAGATTGGAGTTGTTCCAGACACCAATCAAAATTTTGCAGGGTGTCTAATGCCAACTGCAAAATTTGTTATATTATAGCTTATACTCTGCTTATAGATTGGCAAATGTTATAATATAACAAACAAAACTATACCTTTCTATAATTTTTGTCAGTATGAAACATTCTAGGTACAACATGTGCTGCAGCAGCTGCCCCACCAAGTGATCCTCTCCTCCTAAAATATTATAGTAAAATTGATAAAAAAAATTATAGCATCATAATACTATACAATATAACTACAAAATTTTAATTCGTATCACATACTTGTCGATTTGAAGTTTCGTTAAAATTACGAAGTTATCCCTAATGCTTCCTAGTGTTTGCATAACCTACGATGACAAAATGTGAGATCAGTTTACAAACTACCTTTACTTTTTTAATTATTATAAAATATCTATGACAAAAATTAATAATTTGGTTACCGAAATAAATAAAGCACAATGCATAACCATAAATTGAAAGCTAATATTAAAACAAGATGTAGGTTATACCTGAGCAAAAGGAGTTACAATTTTCTCTTCTATCCTATAATTCAAGATAATTAAATACCGTATTACATATATACATATATATATTATATATATTAATTATAGATAATAATAACAACAAAAAATCTAATTGATGATACCTTTCCATTGAAAATGAAGAGGATCTTGATCCGGGTCTTGGGCTATGATGAGAATCCTTCTCATCATTTTTATACAGGAAAGAACTACGCCGATTGACATGATGTTGGACATCCAAGTTCGTATGATTATCCGATGTCCCGTTATAGGAATCCATGGACATTCTAATAATTGCGATAGTACTCACCATTAATACAATATAACGCTATTTCGACTTGGTTTGAATGGTGTAAAACTTTTTCAATTTCATACTACTGATACACATTTTGTAAGCGATGGATAGCATTCAACTGTGTGCGGCAGTTACTACAAATCACGACGTATAAAGCACTGCAGTTGGCGCTACAGTGCAGTATTATATTAATTATTATCTACAATAATCATTTTTGGGCATATGCACTGCTTCATATTTACGTTAACAAAATTGTTTATCTTTTATTCGATTCTAAAGTAATTGGATATTACATGTCATGGCCACGTAATAGCGACTACATAAAACTACTGTTGCATTTTAACTTCTGTAGCATAGTCAGTTTAAATAAAAGCTGCATAATGCATCATGCGAATATTAGTTGCGAATATCTGCACAAAGTCAGTGTACCAATATGATACATACTATGACTAATTTTACTACTGTGCAACACTGCATTCATCGTTCGTAATCAATATTGGATAAGGTAACATCTACTCGCAAGAAATGAACTATTAGCTATCATTGTTAATAACGATGTCAGAAATGAGTACGGATGCTAAGGAATTAAAACATTGGGTTAGTAAATACGTATGCGAAGTATTACGAGCAGGGTGTTAGACTAGTAATAAATAATTACACCATTAGAGGCATTAAATTAAAGTATTTGACAAAATTTCAATCAATAACGATATAATCGATTAGTTTACTTTTTTCAATAACACCGATAGTAACATAAGATAATATGCTAATGCTGTCAACTAAAACAAAAGAGCAGACAAACTATGATCACATTCCGGTATTTTCAGTTTGTTATCTACTACATTTTACTGTTAAAATAGCTCTCTCGGTATAGTACTACCAATTAATGGATAAAAGCCTAATAGCTATCCTATAATAATGTAAACTACAGCCCAATAAAAGAATACCCGTCTGATTTGCATAGTAATCAGTCGGCTCTAAAATTCATTTTAATAATGTTATTATAAATTTATATCTTTAGTGTGTTGGTTAAAGTTGTCAGAAATATCGCTAAACTAATCCAGCTACGATAAAGTACTGTAAAAATGGAAGGAACCATGACCAAATGAGTTAAAATCTAATTTCAATTATAACATTGTAGTACCACAAAGAAACTGGTCAACAGTAGTCGTAAGTTAAATTGACAAAAAATTTGCATTACCCATATAATAGGAATTTTGTCTGATACTATACGAATTACTCTGGAATTTTAAATAACTTCTGTTTACTGCAGCCAACAAGATCTGAATCTTATTACTACGTTGTAGGAATACTATTGTCAATTTTCAACAAGCGACTATTTACTTCGAAAGATTTCGAGTTAGCACTGCATGTTGATGCTACTTCCTATGATATCGTAATATCTACTATTAATACTGTGTACCATTGCATTAACTAAGAACTTATATCAATCAATCAATAATGTCCTGTAAAATAAATTCTGTACATAGCATTGAGATAGTATTTTTATGGACTAATACAATACTGTCAATTACTTGCTAGACAACTAGTCATATTGCAAATACGCGTGTGCTACTAGAAAATGCACAATCACGCTAACTAATACAATTAGTTATAAAGCAGTTCTTTCAGATTATATTATAGTTGTCACTAATCTTTCACGTTACATTTAAGTACCTTGCAAGTAAATCCATTACCAATGCACTTTTGGAATGTTGTACGAACATCGAATTAATTTAAAAAAATGATTATCGTAAATTATCGAACGGGATTGTTTATAGGTTTAATTCACGCCGATTACTTGACTATTGTCGTAGTGAAGTGACGAATGGATAAAAAATGTTTAACAAGGCACAAATAGAACATTGTTTTAATATAATAACGTATCCCTAGAACTAAATGATCTTGTTTTGTCGTCGTCATAACATGATCAACATATTAATTGATGGTAATACCGAGAAGCAAAATTCCTGTCACTATGTCAAAAAGTATGACGTTAACAATATCCTGAGTAAAGTATAATTGTCAGATGATAATCGATGATGTTTATAGAGTACAAAATCAAAAGTATAGTATTGTTGGAAATTTTTACAATTCAATAAGTCGTTGATCGAAGCATAACACTATACAATTTCTCTAACTGCAATCATTTGATACGATTAACTGCCTTCTAACTTAGGACCCGCTAGTAGAGGGTAGTACTGTACAACTAGGCGATCATTCTACTATTTTATTATGAATTTATGATATAACATAAGGCACGGTATACTGAAGATATTTGCCGTTGAATAGAAGATTGTTTGATTAGCTAAAATCAAGCTACAGTATTGATTATCTAAATCATCTATTTTATACTGTATTGAATTGATCAAAGAAAGGACTCGTGTTTGGATTTCTCATTACATCCAAAATTATGGCAAAACATTTAAAAGAATCAAAAATTCTACGATTGACAATATTTTGTAAATGGATATAGTTCATATTGCAGTATACTCTATCTCATAATATTTAAAGTTCTTTCTGACTACGAACGTGTATATTCTCGAATACTTCATACGGGTAAAATTGAAGTTAATTTACGTTAGCGAATTTGAAAATCATTTATTTATTAGATCTGCATTGCTACGTTGATAATACGCTCGAATCTCATTTTACTCTACCAAGTTATTACTTTATGTAATCTAATCAGCACAGAATAATTTGGTATAGTTTTAATTGCCATATATAATAGTACAAGTCTACATTCTACGTCATTTATTGGTATACAAGTACTTGAAACGAATTTAACGGACTGATCTAGTAACAATTTTTGAATCAACACTGTTTAAAACTCGTGTTACTTTGAGTGCTAAATCCATCAGGATTGAATTATAAGAATTAAAACGCCTATATCTAGTTCTATGAATCAATGCAATTTCCATACCTGTGATTGTTAACATCATTGGAATTTGTATCTTCATCATCTTCTATCCATGCAATGGAGGGTTTTTTATTATTATTATTATTATTATTGTTGTTGTTTAGGTTGGAAGTTCTATCGTCGTTTTCATTGTGATTATTGTTTGAAGACATTTTATTTGTGCTTAGTCTACTATCCGGTTATAATACGTGCCAATACTACAATCGAAAATATATAAAATAGACAATTTTATAAATTATACGAGTATATTAACGCGATTAAACAGAGAGCAGGATATATTACAAAGCTGTGCTATCAAAAGAACTTGTTTTTATTAGCCAGAAACTTGGATAATTTCCACTATAGAGAACAGTTGCCTACTGTTCTCCGATTGTATTGCATGGGGTTTGTCTACGTATACTGTATTCCATAAGAATATGTAGTACAGTACTATGCTAGCGCTAGCTAGTATATTTTAAATTCTATGAACAATTTAAAATAGCAATCTAATACAACGCCCTGCTCTATTCCATATGTATAATATTACTGTGTGTGGTCTGTTTCTTTGTGAACAATGTCGATAATGATGA